GGCCGGGGCGGCCGGTGGGGGGGGGGCGGCTGAGGCGGGGACGGCGGCAGGGCCGGTGTCACTGCCCGCCCCGTCGGCCTCGGCTGGCAGGAACCGACCGCCACCGAGAGGTTTCCCCGTTTTCCGCAACCGCCGTGCGCTTCGGGAGAGAAAAAAAACCCGCCGCCCAGCCTTCGGCCCAAATACCCGAAAACCCCGGGGCGAGAGGTTTGGAGTTTTCCGTAGCCCCGTGTCGGACCCTTCTGGCGCAGGGGGGTACGGACCGGTCGGCAAGGCACCGCGTCCGGCAGCATCCTCCCGGCCCGAGCCATCGGCCAACGCTCGGACCGCGGAAAGGGGAACGCGTCGATGACCGGCGCAAATCGCCGTCACGCCTTGACATCCCACGCTAACACGCTCGCCTCGAGCCCCCCGGGCTGTTCTCACCTGAACGCCGCCGACCCGAACCGAGGCGAGGCGGCAGGGAGGAGAAACCGAGCGAGTTTAAGGAGTTTAGAATTTGCTGAGAAACGCTAGGTAGTAGTAGTAACGACAGCTGCAGAAAACATGGTGCATGCCAGAAATGAATGACGATACTCCAAATGTTAAAAAAAAGTATATTGTAAGTACAGTACAAAAAAGTTTTGCTGTATAATTGTAATGTAATCTGGATCAAACAGCAAAGAAATAACAAAAATATAAAAACTGCTAAGTCTTGCCAAAGTTTTCCCTCTAGTACCAAATACCACAAGATACAGATTATACAAAGTGTACAAATTTTAATAAAAATACAATACACCAGGGTTGCGTGTGTTTTTCACTCTTCAAGAGTTTTCCATTGTACAGACGACAAAGCTAAAGCTGATCCCCTTCTGTTCCTTAGAGAGCAGATCTGTCCCTTCACCACGATGCTCTCAATTGTAAAGGGCTAGAAAGAGCCACGGATTTTGTGCCGCTCCCAGCAGCAGATGCTTTAGTACAGGTCAGGATCCGAAGCAGGATGAGACTGCCTCCCTCCTGGGCCCTTCCCAATTCCAGGCTCACTGGGATTAGTGATGTGTTGTTAAAACATGTATGCTCTGGTCTGAGGCTTGGGTTGGGAACTTGCACGGTGGTCTGAGAACCTTCTGCCTCCTCCACTGACCGAGAAAAACCTAACAGTGCACTGAGAAAAGCTCCATAAGAGACAGACTACCTTGTGCAGGCACAGCTGGGGAATACATGGTGAAGAGGAACGGGGAGAAAAACCATCCTGCACACCTAAGGATTTAATTTAAGTATGATTTGGGGCTCAACCACAATGAGGGACAGCTCACTTTCAACTGCCCTGAAAAACACAAGCTAGACTTCAGATTGGAAGTAAAAAAGTGCTCTTCTGTCATTTTAAAATTTTTACATTATAAGGCTGGAAAGGCTAAAGTCAAACTATATTTCAGTTGTTCTACCTACCTTCACAAGGTAGCCTGTTTCTACAGCCACTTAAAAACTTCCTGGTGTTTCCCCATACAATGCCAATGCTTACTACTACGCATATAGCTGATTCCTGCAGGAAGTGGGGGTGAGGCAAACTTGATTGGTATTTTCCACACACTGTTGGGTGGAGGGAGGGATTTTTGCTTTTAAATTATGTATATATATATATATACATACACACACACACACAGAAATATACAGGATAAATTAAAATCTGTTACAGATATTGGTAAAAGTTAAATACATACGATATGAACACCACATACACGTACATACAGACACACAAAAGCTTATATGAGAATCAAGTGCTCTCCTGCGGCTCCTCTTCTAGAGGAGCAGAAAACCAAACACCAAGTATGTGGCTGGAAGGAAGGGGAATCGGTCCAATCAACCCACATGTGCCTTACTCAGCCGTAACTGCTTCAAACTGGTCATTAGTCACTGCCTCACAGCAGCACCACAGCTCTTTCGATACTGCTGGTGAAAGGGATGGGGGATGAGCGATCTCAGAAACCAAAATTGTCTGTTCACAAAACAGGTGCAAGATGGGCAGAAGCAATCCAAGATTTTCCCATCCGCTTCCGCACTCCTCTCCATCAAAGCAGGCTGACCATGCCCTGGAAAAATCAGCAGGAGGTTCATTCTCTCAAGCCAATGCAGTTGGTTGATGTATCGTGCCAATGATGATTTGGGTGCAAGTCCACAGGAAAAGATTAAATTTGTTGTCATCTTCCACTTTACTTCAAATGCCAGCTACCAGACCAGCCAGCTGACGCTGACAACTTTCAGTTATTACTGACTGAAGAGGGGGGGTTGGAAGAAGTGACCAAGAGGCAAAGACCTCTGTATCTTTGATCAGCTATCCAGCTTTCCCCTCACGCAGTAGATTTTAAACTGAAAATCAGTTAGAAACAGGGCTGGTGAAGAGTTCAGTTCTATTCCTTGGTCCAAAATATATCATCATCTCTACCTGCTCGTAGAATATCAGAATATTTAAATTTGGAAGGGATATCAGGAGGTCACCTGGTCCATCCCGCTGCTTAAAGAAAGTCCAACTAGAGCAGGCTGATCATTCCGTTTATCACCAAGGATGGAGAGTCAACAACCTCTCTGAGCCACCTGTTTCAATGACCCTTCTCATGGCGACGTTTTTTTTCTTTATACTGAGAAGTCCATTCTCTGGCTGCTTCCCCTTCAAAGGATCTGAATTTAAGGCGAATATCTCAAAAGCTTTCTGAATTCTTCATACAAAATACTTTCAGATTGGAGGACATTTCACCCACCAACACAAAAGGGTTTTCTCAGCTTAACTTCACAACTTTTCATAAAACAAAAGTCAAATAGTTACAATCCTATGTATATACTGTACAGATATAAAACTTTAAAACCCTACACACGGAGCCCATTGAGAGTGCCGGTGTAGTGCATATGTACACAAGTCAGTTACGCAGAGGTTGAGTACATCCCAGGATCCTTTCCCATCAAAGTCCAGGCATGATGTAGGCAATGTTGTCTAGTGTGTTTGACTGGGAAAAGAAATTCAGTGGTTTTTTAGTGTCAGGTAATGACTCAAAATCCTTAAAAAATGACACAGACGAGGGTACTAAGCAGGTTCACTTGCCTTACAAGTTATCATTAATAAGACAACCAAATCTGCCTAGTCATCACCACCACTGCTAGGCTTATTTTCACATTTTTGGAAATGTAAGTTAACTAAACATAAAGGTAGCCTCAGTACTTATAAGCACATGGAAACAAGGAAAATGCTTGAGGCTTTCCTCAAGTGACCTCTTCCTTATGAACTCCATACTCTGTCTCTGAATTTGAAACAAGCCACACTGACCATATCACTTCAACCACAGGAAAGACTAGTGATGAAGGACTTGAGCAAAGTGATCAAAGTTGTAGCATATAAAAAAAAAAAATTACTTGACTTCACACTCACAAGTCCTTCATGAAATCCTGTAGTGTAAAAGTAAAGAGAAAAATCCTTAAACACACCCACTAATAGGGTGCCAGATGGGAAAAAGAAGCGCCCTCCAGTTTTTCCTGCAAAACATAATAGAATCCTGGAAGAGTCCTTGTGCACATCAGAAAACAAGACCCAGCAGTATATTATCTGTATGTTCTTCAAATGCAGTACTTCAGTAAGCTCCAGCCTGTGGCTGGATGGCTGAAGAAGGCCTTAGGAATGCCACCTTTTAATTGCTGAAGACAGAGGAGCTGTAGCTGCACCAGTTGTGATTCTAGAATTTAGCAATGCCATCTACTGACTGAAAGGACAAATTGCATTCTATGTGCAACACGACCACTAACAATTTTATCCATGTCTTAAAACACCACTATCGTTACACATCTGATGGTAAAAATCAGAATTATTTATTATCAAGTCTGAATACCAGTTTTCAGAAGTGAAGGGTAAGTGCCTTAATCCACCTAAAGCTCCACTACTCCTTATAAGTTGATCAAGTTTGAAATATATGCACCATTAGTCATACGGTGTCATTGCTCTGAATGCACTTGGCAAGCAAGAAGGAAAAAAAGCATAGGATGTTTTTCCATGGCTTAGGATGGGAACACCCCACTGACTCAGCTTTTGTGCAGGCAGCCAGTTTGTGGGAGCTCACAGTCTAAGCTGTCAACTTTATTGTTAATAGTCCGTTCTCAAAATGAATCAATGTTTGGGCTGCCCTATTATAACATGCCTATTCATATCCCATTTTTGTTGTCGTCTCTGCCAGATTTGTTTTTAATCTCTTAACTTTTGCAGACTATATATTTATTTTTAATTTCTGCTCCTCTCCTTCACTGCTTTATTCATGTCTCCTGTTGGAGGCATGACTCCTGATTCCTTTTATGCTGCTGCCATCTTAATCTATGTCCACATCATGCTACAGAGATGCCACAAGCTATTGCTAAACCAGAGCTCAATATTAAGTGTAGTTTAAAGTGAAAAAGAACCTGTAGTTACACAGTTCTTTAAAACAGAGACTATTTTTCTTTCCTTGGAGAAGGTTACAGCCACATGTAAAAGGCCGTACTCAATCACATTAGGAAACCTGAGATCACAAGTTATTTTTTGTGCTACTAAAGGAAAAACAGATTGTGTGATACAGAGCAGATAGAAGGTGCTTTTTATTTTTACCAAAAAAACTTTCAAAAATACTGGTATGTGTACAGGCACTTTGATTTGATTCAGATGGATTGATTCAGTCACTAAAACAGGACCTACACACACTGCAATCAACACTACAAATACTCGGCCAGTTACCACTGGGAGAAAAAAAGTTGCAAAATATCATACAACAGTAACATCTGAAAGAATTTCAAGAAATATTCCAATATAAGACCAAGACAATTTTCTTATTGCACTGGAATTATCATCACATCGTAAGACTGATTCATCAAAAAACTCTGGCTGGACTCCACTGAAATCAACAGTGCTAGAATGGAAATAATCACAAGGAACTCACCAAAACGTGCTTAGGGCAGCCATTCAACTCAGGTAGTTGTGTGGTCAGACATGCTAATGGGCCCAAAGCACAGATGATTGAATCTAGAAGTACTGACAAACTTCCTGAAACAGCCACCATTCCCTGGAAGTAAGGAAAGAAAAAAAATTGATAGGGATGAGTAGGGAAATTATGGTTCTTTCACAACTGTATTGATTCTCATGCAGATACAGTATCTTCACTCTTGAGCTCCTCTAGTCCACTTTCATTATTTACACAGTAACAAAACTGTGTCATGTGCTTCACAGAGAGACTGCTGGCTCAAAAAAATTAAGAATTCAGTAGGCAACATACTAGTGTAGGAAGAAAGTAGGGAACAACAGAAAAGGTCAGAAAATTGTCAGTTGCATAAAACACTTAATTCTACAATTTTTTAAAATGTAATTTCTTTGCCATTTCGTATGATCTATTTCGTTAACTACATGAGTCCTAAAGACAACAGTTTTATTACTGAAGTCTAAAGAAATGCTAAGTCTGTAACAATTGCTTTAACCATTGACATACTTTCAGGAAAGGGAATTTGCTTGTGTGCCTTTCTATAAAGGGGGAGAATTTACTCTGGTTGTTCCTCTGAAGAATGACCTCAATTGGTCATACCAGAAACAAAATGCAAGAACATTTATTTTACTGCTGATAAAACAAGTAAGCATAGTGGGATGAGATGACCACACTAGCCATAAAATTCAATTATATTATTTGAGCCAAATATGTGTGCTCTGCTTACAGGCTGGGCCGAGTTCTGAAAGTGCGCGTGCATGTGTGCGTAGAATCACTATCATCTAACAGTAGGAAACCCTTAAAATCTGACATCTTCTATGTTAGTCCCTATCCAAAGCACTGGCAATATGATACTGCCAGAAAACAACAGGACATGCAAAAACCATCTTGGTAAAGGCTGATGGTTTTCTAAGAAGTCTTGAGACAGTAACAGAAACTGGACCAGAGACTGCTGGCAAAGACAGCAAGGAAGTACCAGATCCAAGGTGAACATATAGTAAGAAAAGACTGAAGAGTTTGCTGAACTAAGAACTGCCTTTGAGGACTTAGAGCTGCAAAGGACCTGTCTGTCTTTGATGCCTACTGTTTACTGAGAAACAAGACTTTTTATTTCACTGAAAACAAACAGGAATGCATTGAAGACACAACACACCATCTCCAATTTCTCTTCCTAACAGAAAAGCATTGGTTAAACTTCTAAGTAAAATAAAATAATAATCCCTCCAATCCTGTGTGGAGATCCTGTGACATCGCTGCTTACAGACTCACCTCTGTTTCCTGCAGTCTGTGACCAATAAGGCTCAGAGATTCACCCAGCAACTGTAAGTGTGCAGCTACATCAATAGGATCCGTCTCAGGGACTTTGGCTGGTGAGGAAGACACCACCACAGTGCTGGTGGGGGATTTCTTATGAGGGGAAATCACTCCTGTTGGAGAAGCTGGAAACACACAAATAAAATTCCATATTCTCTTCTTTCTTTCTTTTACTTACAAGCTTATTTACTTAGTAAAGTTCAAATCTCAAAGGCATGAGATACTTAAATAGTTCTGTGGACCTGGTCCTGCGGTCTTTGGAGTCAACACTTTCCTTCTACATGCACAAAGCATCTGCCTCAGCTGAATGAAATCTGGGAGATTTGGTTTGGGAGATTTGATAAAGAGAGATGCCAAGCCAAGAACAACCCTTTTTCCTCTAGCAGCAAACTAATCCCACTAGAACTTCCCTGCTGCCTCTTCTTATTTTACATTTAAATCCCTAAACTGCTAAAACCAATACCACTCTACAAATTAGACAAGGAAATACTTCTGAATAATGCTGATATCATTCTCACTCTCACAGTAAAATTCTTTTTGAGTAATATGATGATTTAAATGTCAAGCCTTGTGAGAAAGCAGGTAGGGGTGTGAAGCAGGAAAGGACCTTTGTTCCTTATTCCACAGGCAACACTATCTTCCCTGTCCAAGAAAAAAGACCAGAGCAAATAAAGTGCAACAATTACCTTTTATTTTTGGTGCCCCATCTGAAGATGATGCCTTTCTCTTCACAGTGGTGGCTTCTGCTTTATTTTGCTTGTGTTGGAGATACTGAGCTTTCTGTTTCCAGATCTGCAGTTACCATGGTATGAAAAGAGAGATTCGTAACATTAGGTAATTGTTACCTGATGCCAGGACCCGGAGGCAGAATGATGTTATGTAGCTAACTGGTGAAGCAATACCATAAGAAAATGGATGCTTTTATGATCGCAAGGGCAAGGTTTCCATACTTTCTATCTTTACATACTTTGGCGACACAGGTAGCATTTTTCAAGGTATGGTGGCAATGCTGCCAGCACGTTCTGACCTAAGCACCTAGTTTACAGAAATCATTTTAAAAATGCCTCACACACACTCACCAGTTTATCCTTCTCAGGTAGCTGCTTCCACACTTCCGCCAGTTTTTTACTTAGCTCTCCAAAATCTGGCAGAAGGAAAGAAGAAAAATGTTTAAAACAAATGTTTAAAACAAATGAAATCATAAAATCATGGAGAGAACAGGAAATTTACTAGCCCATGCATACACATTCAGGAAGCAACCCATTCCACAACTGGAACTCTCCATACTGGCCTGAAAATGATTGCCAGTGTGCATTCCCTTTACTCTTTATAATGAAAAAAAAGCTTGATGATGGGAATATAAAGTCACATGTGTGTATACAGGAAAGTGACACAATGAAGGTAACTCTTTAAGTAAAGAAAGAGCGAGCTAGAAATTTCTTTATCCAGATTCACAGCTTGGTTAAAATGCAACAAAATCAAATAATGAAATCCACTCCTGTCCCCTTTGTCACCTCTTATTCAAAGAAAATTGGCAGATTCTTTACATTCTGTCAAAGTTAAGACGTTGGTATGAAACAGAGACAATACATTCTGCTAATTGATCCGACTGGTGTATAATCAAGAGAGGAGAAGGCTAGATTATTCTCTCACCTATTCCAGGGTGCTCAGACACAATAGTTGTACGATATTCCTTACAGAACACTTGATAGGCAGACATGTTTTTCTTCTTTGGCTAGTCAGAAGAAGAAAAGGAAACAAAGATTTTTAATTACGATGAGACCTACTTGAATTTAATAAGAATTTGGCATTTATTGAAGACTTAAAGAAAGCTGTGGTGCTTAGATCAGGCACCTAAAAAAGCAGCGTTTTACATGTTCTAGCTGAATTTAGTGTTTATGAAAGCACAGGAACCAGCCAGCACTAGTCTTGGTACAAGGCTTATCTTGCAGCAACTCTATCAACACATTTCATTCATAAGTTACAACAACGCACTATTCTAAATCTAGGATCAACATACAACTTTGTTAATATATCCGGTTTAAAACTTAAAATAATAATAAAATGTATCTGTCATACTATTCACAGTACATATTACAGATCTGTCAAAACAATTCAGTCCTCATCACAATGTTTTGTTCCATTCCTTGCATCCTTACAAACACTTCAAATTGGCAGGAAAATAGACAGTATAAGTACGCTGACAGCAGAGGCATAAGCAGTTGCTGAGCTATGATCAGAGAAAACTTACCAAATAGAACAGAATAATGGCTGAACAAATTTGGGCTACATCTGCCCATTTCCTGACACAAAGCAACTCTTGTCTCTCTGAACATAGAGAAACTGCTTTTCCCCATTTATATACTTACACAGCTACAGTTCTACCACCTGTAAACTCATTCATATGCTAGCTACCATTTCTCCCACTCATTTTTAAACACTAACCATGGAAAACTGAATTTATGAGTACAGGACAAAACTGGGAATGTGGTAGTCTATAAGAATTAGAATTTTATTTGAATACAGGAGTATACAGGTAAATATCTTCACTTTTCAGGTTACAGCTTGATTCCTTTTTACCAGAACTGTGATGATGGACCAGATCACTAGTCCAAAAGTCTGCCTGGCAACAGCTGGAACTGGTTACCTTAGAAAATGATGCAGTTGTGCTTGGTATATAACCTGTACCAAGCAAATTAAGTATAACCTTTTCAAAGAACCTCCATTGGCTAAAGACTGCCCGTGCCACAAAACCAGAATGACATAGTGGCTGACACATTTTTCCAAACATGCTTCACTGAAACCACTGATCCTGGTATTAGTTATCCTTCTGTTTCAATTTAACATGCCTTTGTAATGGAGTGCCTAATTCACCGTTACCCACCACCCAGTTCCTATTTTCCCTCCAATTTTTCCTTACTTTTTCTCTTTCTTTTTCTCTTTCCTTTTCTCTTTCCTTTTCTTTCTCTCTTTCCTTTTCTCTTTCCTTTTCTTTTTCTCTTTCCTTTTCTCTTTCTTTTTCTCTTTCCTTTTCCTTTTCTCTTTCCTTTTCCTTTTCTTTTTCTCTTTCCTTTTCCTTTTCCTTTTCTTTTTCTCTTTCCTTTTCCCACTTCTCAGCTTTGTCCTTCTCCTTGTCTTCCTTTTTCCGTCTCTTCTCACCTTGACCATCTGAGTGAAAAGCAGCAGGAGGAGGTGGAGGAAGAACATAGGGGGTACTGGGAGGAGGTGGTGGTGACACTTCAGCTACTGCCACAGGACCGTGCCCAGAACTCTTTTTAGACTTAGAGTGCTTCTTCTCTCTGTGTTTCTCTTTGTCTTTTTTTTTCTTACTTTTTTTTGACTTCTTCTTCTTTTTGATTTCCCGGTAGGAGTCATCTATCACTAGCTCTCCAGCCTCCAACTCCCCACCAGAAGAGGAACCAGATTCTGGCGGTGCCTCCACACCTGAAATCTCATACTCGCTCCCATGGCCCTCTGAAAAAAGGGAGGTGTCAGCACCAAAACTCTCAGAAGGTGGATGTGAGTCCAGGGGTGGTTTGTGCTTCTTCCGGGATGACTTCAGGAAGCTCTGTAGTTCATGACCCAGCAGGAATGAGCCTTGCTCATCTCGAGCCGATTTCTTTGAAGATTTCTTTGCAGCCGCTGGTGCTGAAGAGTAGGAGAAAGAATCATCATCTGCTGCACTACTTTTCTCTTTCGGTGAAAGGATGAGCTTCATCTTCAAGCCATCAGGTTCACGAAGAGTAAGTGTCTCTGTGTTCACATAGAGAGGTTTCATTTTTTTAGATTTGTGGAAGCTGCCATCATCCACTGAGTGCTCCCCACTGCTCCCACTCAGCTTCTTCTTGTGGTGCTCCTTTTTGCTTTCAGAATGGCCAGAGGAAGAATAAGATGATTTTTCAGAGGTCTTCTTTGAAGACTTTGAGCTTGTGGCCAAAGGTGAGGTGATAGCCTTGAGTAAATCCATGGTTGTATCAGCTGAGGATGGGCTAGAAACTGCTTTTTTCTTCTTCTTTGATGGTAGATCCAAAGGCGAAACACCTGAAAAAGATCAAGAGAAATGTACATCAAGATGATTCCCTTAAAGACAGCATTACACCAGCCCAAAGAAGTGAAGTGGGAATCCTGCAAGACTTATGATTACAGCTAACAGATTTACATCCTGGCTTAAACAAAAGATCTCTGAAGCTTGTAGCCAGCTTCGCACAGCCTTACTGATACAATTCAGGAGCTGTAATGCCCGAGATGGTCAAATAATTCAAGGCAGGAAGACAGAGCAGGTAAGCTCTTGAAGTTTTGTCAAACTCTTTATTCCATTGTGAAATAACATATTTTGATGAAAAAGTATCTTACTGAGCCTGAAATTACATCTCAAGTGCAAGGTTTTCGTGCCATTTTTAGCCAAGGTGAGACCAATGAATTGAAAATACAAGCTTTTTCATTCTGAAAACAGATTCTGATAACATTTCAACTGGGCTTTCTCTTTTCATTGGGCCAAAAATAAATCTTAAACCTGTTAAGCTTTTATGAGCAGAATTGTCATTCTCTAGCCAGCTTATTAATTGTGAGAATAATGTTTCTGTATTTAAACTGAACCCAAAAGCATTTCTTTTTCACCCTGATGCATTCTACTTTTATAAATTCAGAGAAAGTAATACTATCTGCAAGTAAAATTACAGTTTGTAATGTAATAGGGAAAAATGAAATGCAAATGCCAAAAGGGAAGGCATGGGTTAGAAAACTACAACTTGTCAATCAAAAGAGGGTGGAAGATCTCTACCCTCAACAATGGCAACTTGGTAAGCTAGACTCTGAAAATATCATTCCCTAATCTTCTACTCTCTGGTGCTGATCAGCATCAGGCTTCTGATTACTTGTCCTAAGACAGGTTGATGTATTCTCCCCCCATAAAGTGCTAACCACAAAGATTGATGACACTGGTTTTACAGCATCCTTTCCTCAAAGTCATGATCCCTTAGCCCTTTTCCATGCTTGATTACTATCTTACCTCTGTAGCAGAACTCATCTGAGGAGTGCTTTCTCTTCTTTTTGTGAGGTTCTGTCCCTGGAAAAAGATCACTGTCCTAGAATAAGAAGAAAAAAATTGCTGAGAAACAAGAGGGAAATAATACAAGATTCACATGGAGTATTGACATAGATAATAATTTGTAGGAGTTATCAAGAGTTATTTGTATTACTGTAACACCAAGGAACCCTAGGTATGAAACAGGATCATTATTCTAGGTGCTAAAACAAGCAAAGGAAACGTATCTGTCCCCAGGAGCCCACGCTGTAGGTTTAAGGTAAGAGACAAAAAGCATGGTACAGGTAGGTGGGAGAATACAAAAAATGGTCTTAGTCAGAACAGGTTTCAGCACATCAGCCACCTAACTGGCATCAAGCTTTCTTTAGGCATTGCAGCACAACATGGCTATAAGGAAATTGAAAGACATATCTCTATAGGGAGCTCCCCCCAAGCGAGAGGAGCAATACACAAGAAAACTTGAAAAAGCACATTTGAAAGTGTTAAGAAATGGGCAATGAAAGCCAGCACTTGGAGATCAGCTGATGAGTTGATAAAAGGCAGACATCTACCTCTTAATAAAGCTAAGAAATAACTAAGCATGCATAGGCTATCAAGCCTTGAAAATGAAGGTGAGCAGTTCATGTTTAATAAGCTGAAAAAGATAAAAGTGAAAGGAGGTACAAAGAGGTGACAATTATAATGATGGGCCAAAAAATTGTCCTTAATATGTTATGTCATCCAATTATTATTTGTCTCTTGACCAATTTATGGTCTGAAAATGAAGCTCCTCTACAGAATTCCATCTGCATGGTAGAAGATGATTTTCATTTTAAACTAGAACTTCTTTTCCAGATTTAAAAAAAAAAAAAAATCACACAAGATAGTCACCTTTGAGCTAACAGCAGAAATTTTAGCTCAAAGAGGAAAGTTTTGAAGAAACTTAAGTTGTTACTACGTGATTTCAGAGTTAAGGCCCCAAAGAGGTGAATAGGGCAAGTCCATACCTCTCAAGAGCTATCATTTCAGGCTGTCTGCAGAATCAGGAAGACAACAGTGCATCAGTTAACATTATATCCATCCTTTGCTGGCTATTTATACAACCACAAATTCTAAGAAAATTTTTTTGTGTGTGTGTGTGTAAAAAGTTATTCATGCTATCTTGTGACTTGCAAGGTTCTACATCAAGACTAGGACAGCATCCTACTACCCTATTTTCTGAGGCCAGAAAAATCAGAATCAGTTGTAATTGGGACTGACACCCTCCTTCTTCCCAGGAAAGTTACTGAACAATACAGGACACGATTAGCTGCTCTTGCTGTCTTCTACATGCATTTCTATATAAAAAAGAACAAGAAACCCACCCATCCCATTCCATCACTAGCTTTACACATATCCTTACACCTTCAACCTTTTCTCTGAGGGCTTCCTGACCTGAGTTGCTATCTCGTCTTCCTCTTGCAGCAGATCCTTGTAAGAGCGCTTTTTCTCTCGCTGTATCCTGCCAGTTGGCAGCCCCACGTCATCAACACTTCGGTCACTCTCTAGGTACTCTAAGATTTACGTGAAATGGGAAAAAAGGAAGACATGAAATACCCCATTAAGGAATGATAGACGTGGACTATGCACAAAATAAGATAACAGTGGACGGTGGCACAGAGCGATGCACAAAACCCAACAAGCACAGGGGCCTAAAAGGTAACAGTCTGTACTCTCTGACCACAGGGATGGGGCTCAGTGCTCTAATGCTGTAACATAATCACTCCAGATTTCATTTCTAACCCTTGTATATTTCTCCTAAAGACAACTGGACCTAGAAATGTTACCATGACTAAACATATCCTTATCCCTGGTCTCCCGTTCCATTGACCTGGCAGGGAGAAGAAAGGCTGCAGTGGCAGAGTTTCCAATCAAGGTGTTTGCATTAGGAAATACCACTCATTTCTCTCAGGTTCTAATCCCAGTACTTTACACCTGGAAGTCAAGGGCTTGGGATCCTCCAACAACTTGGCCAGGTTAAATTTAAGGGCTCCACAGCATACTAGCTTCCTTTCCCACTCTGACTGCATGGCCTGGCAAAGGCTGCAGAGGGTACCCTTTTTTTTTGGCAACTCCCTCTGAGATTATGAAGCAGTCATACCTTCTTTCTTCTTGGAGTCATCATAAGCCATGGTGGTCCTGCAGGAGCCTGAGAATGTGTTGCCACGTCTGGGCTCCTTCCCCCGTTCCCATCTACAGGAAAAGGTCTGAGAAACAGAGAATGAAAATAACCCTCCCATAAAGAAGAATCATGATGTAAAATGGGAAACTTCCTCTGAACCAAGTGAAGATTCTCTGGAAGACAGTGGGAAAGGAAAGGGATCTACCTTCTGGTCAGTTCATGCTCACTCTTCAGGCTTGACAGAATTTTTTGAAATTAAATTGGAAGTTGGTCTTCTATTATTTTAAAGATATAAAAGACCACCTATTCCTTGTAAAATCTCCAAGACACTGAAGTAATTTATTTACAAAAATGGACGAATGAGAAGACAGCTGAGTTTGATCTTCATGACACACAAAACTGCACCCAAACTTGTGTAAAAGCCATTTTCTGTCAGGAGCCACTGTAGCAGAGTGGGACGTTTAAAGAGAGATTTCAAACCCTTGAATCTCAGATGAAGTGAAGGAAAAGAAGGAACCAGGCAGAAATCATTGTCCTACAAAAGAAGTATTTCAAATCTTTTTAACTAAAGGATCACACATTTTATAGTGAAGGTGTGCATCCTTCTGATGTGTTTCCCAATACTACCACTGCAGCCATTCTGAATGCCAGCCTGGGAGAGGGAACCGAAGCAAGCACTCCTTTTCACTAGGCCTTCCGCTGCACCCCAACCCCTGTCAGCCCCCAGGTTTCAGGCCTCCTCCGAGTCATTCTGTTCCACAGTTGCTGGCATATAGGAGGACAGTGCCCTTATGGAATAGCTGCACCCTGGTTCTCTCAGAGTAAACAGCTTTTGTTCTTCAGTCAGCAACCAGCTTAACATGAAAAAAATCAACCTTCTGCTCATAAGCAATTAAACCAATTGCACCTAACTGATTTTGTGTGTTTCTGTGTATGTGCACACGTGTGTAAGCATTCAACCACAAAGACCATGCACCTTGTTCATTCTAGCTGTCACGGCAATCTTGCCACACTGAAGTTACACTTGAATACCTTGAGAGCAGGGGAACTTGTGCTTGTACATCCCTGCACGTACCTCAGTTTTATAAATAGTTGGCTGAGAATGTACAACATATTCATCCTATAGTGGTTACTTAAGTGAAACAACAAAGTCCCAACTAAATCAAACTTGCAGGTACACAGAAGATGTTTCCGTTTAAATTCATAGGAATACATGTTATTTCTTCAGGTTTTGGGAAACCATCTGCCACAAAATGTTTTAAGTCAATATTCTGACTACCACACATTGTTGGTAGCAAGCACAGCAATTTGTAGGCAGAATTTACGTCTACAAGCAAGAGCACTGCCTATGTGTATGCACTAGAGCACTGCACTTTGCAATACAAAAGAGCATCCTGCCGCTTGTGGGCTCACAATCTTGAGCCAGATTTTGGCAACGTTTCATGACGTTCAGCTGTCATATGGACTTCGGTGGGAACACGCACGATACCAAAGCACTGTGCTCAAGAGGACAAGGGCCTCATCGAGATACTGCTCAGCAAAACAAAGCTGACGACAGTTGTTCATGAATGGATGGCTTGGAGAAACTAAGATCCGTTTAGAGCTACACACATATCTTTTATCCTCTTTTAACATCTTATTTGCTTGGCAGGTGTAAAGATTGGTAGGTAACGCCTAAAGGGGCTTACAACTAGACCTCTAACCCTGCAAATACAACACATATCCTTAACTAGCCTTGTCCTGTAAACCCTAGTTAGGTTCCCCTGCTTCAAATGCTGCGGTTTCAGCAGTAATCGCACAGGTTCAGCGGAGAAGCTCTCCCCGCACGTCTCCCCTTCCTTACCGCACATGCTCGCGGGATCGCGGCCAAGCGTTGCTTTTCTGCAGCCCCCCCCTCCCGGGACTCCACCGGGACCTCCGGGCTTCGGTCCCCCAAGGGAGGCCGCACACCCCACTGGTGACAGACCGCGGCGGGTGGAACCGGAGGACCGGGCTCCCTCGCCCCATTTCCCCGCCGGAGCTCCCAACGACCCGGAGGAAAAACCGTGAGGGGCAGGCGGGTCCCGCCGGGAATACGGAGGAGAAGGGGGGGGCAAACGTCGGCACCGGCCCCTCGGCGGACACGGCGCCGGGACCCGTCGTGTACCCCCCCCCCCGGGGCACCCCAAGGCCCAGCCCCGCGCATGCGCGCCAATTCCCTCAGAGCCCGGGCCCCGCCGCCGCCGTTTGAAGCGGGCTCGGCCGCCCCCGCTCCCGCCCGCGCGTCCTCTCACCCAAACGGGCTCCGGCCTCACTCCAGCCCCGCGGACTCCGCCCCTGCAGCAGGCCGGAGCTTGCCCCGGCGGTAAAACCGCCGAGAGGCGACAGGGCCCGCCGGTAACCGAGCCGCAAAGCGGGGAGGTGCCGCCGCCGCCGCCTCACTCCGCACTGCCGCTTCCCGCCGCGCCGCCGCCGCCCGCGGCCGCCATCTTGGAGAGGGAGACAAGGGAGACCCGCCCGGCGCCGGGGCCAGGGGCAGGGAGCCGAGCGCCGAGCACGTCCAACGGGAACACCCGCGGGGGGCGGAGGAGAAGGCGGGCTGCGGGATTGCTGAGCGCATCGATGGGGCTGAGGCGGGAGGGGAGCGCCATTACCCGCGGTGGGAGCGGGACCCCGCACCGGGCTGTCACGGCCTTGGGGCGGCAGCCGCCACGCACTTAGTTTTCCCCGCCACGGCACGCCGCTCGTATCGCGGGTGAGGTTCGAAATACCGTGCGCCGGGGCTTACCCAGAGGCTTGGCCCCGGGGTCCGGCTTGGGGCCTCCTCGCCCGCCCAGTCCCCCACTGGTGCAAGCGTACGGGCCCAGGGCTGAGGCCAGAGTGAGGGGCCGTAGCGTACTGCTGCTCGCACCGGGAGCTGGGCCCACCCACCGTGTCCCCAGGCACCCCAGGGTGGTTACACGGGTGTTACGTGCCCCTGCAGAGGTGTGGGAGACATGCGTGGGCCAGACGCTGGGTGCCTGCGCTGGGCCCCGGCTCTGCCCTCGACCACCTTGTGTAGAGCGTGTGCCCGCCTTCCCCCCGTCTTTGGCAAAACCTCCTCTTTGTGCATGTGCTGTGCTGTCGTGGCACAGCTTCCACTCTCTCGTTATCCCTTTCTTTTAAGAGATGAGTCTCGGAGCTGGCTGGGCTTCCAGCATGGGTTAATTGTTGGCTGCTTGTGCCTGCCATGGTGGGTCAATGGGAAGGGGTGAAATCCTGTTTGTTATTAAGCAGTTACAGACCCAGCACTTTCATGAGATTAGTCATGCACGCACATGAGCAGGCACATCTCCTGTAAGTCTATCTGATTGATTGCCTGAGGAACTGAGTAGCTGTACTGCACAGGTGGAGCAGCCGGAGCCGAGATACGCATGTCTGAACAGCACACTGGGGCTACTGCCTGTGAAGGCATCATGCAACCCTCACACCCTTTCCAATCAACTGTCCAAAGTTGGCAGGCAAGAGAAAGGCACATTACCCCAGCATCTTCTAAAGGGCTCATTCATTACCGCAAAGGATTCAAGACAGAGGTAAAAAAGCTCAGGAGACAGCCTGGTCAGCCTTCCCACCAGGTTAGCCTTTCTTCACTCTGACTGCTCAGGAGGTCCCTGTTCAACAAACCTCATTTAACTCTTACCTTAAATCCCATCATCTCCACTGATGCAGGAGTCTTCTTTTCATTTAGATGCCGGCAGACACTCACATGACTCTGTCAGAGGCTGCTCACAGTCACATGCTGTCTGCAGACTACAATTCCCACATGCCTGAGGTTAAACCTGACCCATCACAGACATGCCTGTTCCCCAGTGCTTACAGATCCCCCTTCTGGTCCTGCTGATGCTTTTGTGTCCTAACAAGTACATAATGATGAAAATAATTATTTGTGGTATAGTAGGCCCTAGAGGAATTAGAAGAAGATGGAGGCCTATGCCTGTTATGCTGTGTGGGTATAGTTTGATCCAAAGTGAGGGGTACAGCCTCTATGAACACATCAGTGTCTGCAAGTGCAGCAGCTGTAACACATCAGAGTAAAAACCCACCACCCCTTAGGCTGTGCAGATGTTCTTGTGCATGTACCCATGTGTGCCTGCTCCTGGTGAAACTCTAAAATCACTCCTTGCCCTCCAAGTCATAACCCAGGGAGGATTTACCCAGGCGGACAAGTGCCTCTGCAAATTTATGACCAGGACCTTGCCAGAGTTGAACTCACCAAGACTTACTCTTTACCTCCGATTATTGATGATGTTTCTAGGAGTCCCAGTGATGGATCCATACCCCATTTGGCAATGCACAGTACAACAAAAACACGGCTCCTGTCACCAGGATTATACAGTCTTCAGCTTTCTTGCTCATTATGGACTGTATGGAAATATCAGTTAACTCCTGGGAGCGCTTGGCCTATGGGTCAGGTGGAGGCAGAATGGGAGCAAGGCAGAATAAGCCATTAGCGTGGGTGGGAGAGGCTAGGTGCAGCCTGAAGGAACAGGGATATGGATTGCTTTGAAAATTGAGAGCCCAAGTTAGCCTGATGATGGCAAGCATTTGATAATGACAGCTAGTAAATGTGTAGGGATGCTATGTTTAATATTCTGCACCCTAGAATGAGAAAGGATTCTAGCTCCCCTGCAGTTTAATGGTTTTAGTGCTGGATGGTTCGTAGGTATTAGATTGTGTCAGTGATTGTGTGTGGAGGATAGAGAATGAATTTGCAGGTGAATTTGCAAAATGAGTGTGTAGCAGGATACTTGCACATAAAGCCACTGAAGCACCAATCATTCAGACTTCCCCTGGTGCGATCTATCCGTGCTCCTTTCCTCCCACAGAACAATCATAATGATAATAATAATAGTAATTGTAATAGTAACAACAACAACAACATGTAGTCCCTCCTACTGTACTTTTCATCAGTGCAGAAATGCTCAGAAAAACTCACTTCAATCATTCCCATTCTTCAGAGCTAATAAAGGGAACCAGCCAGCACAAACCACTGGCATTTACTGGGTGCTTTCAAACACCTTAGCCTTTCCTTTTTCTAGAAAATTCAGGGATCTCTTTAGAATGTACACCTAGATTATACAGGTCAGGTGGGGAAAATGTCAGGATGCCGATAGCAAATTTAAGAGAGTCACAAACCCTTCAAATCCTTAGTACTGGACAGAATTGTTTCTTTGTGTTCTTGAATATAAGAGGTCGTAGGGAGGGAATCGGAAAATCAAACAGTCCCTATAGTTTTTAAGACCTGAAGTGCAGCTTCAGTCACTCTCAGACTATTGTGAGAATATTGCTTATTCCTTTTGTTGAAAGCATCTTGTATTCTTTTGCCTACATGCCAGGGAGAGAAACTGTGAAAGGGTACATGATGTGTTCCCTCAGGTGTCTTTTTGGCAGTGAGATACATATTGTATGAAATGCTCTTGCCAGTGCAGAACGTTTTAGGACGTGTGTATACTTTCTTATGCTTAATGCAAGATGAGTTGTGTGCTAAGGGCTTACCACCCATGAAGCCACCCAGTATGGTCTTGCTTTCCCCACATTATATCCACCATCTATCCTTGTCTGGTATCTATCCTGTCCTCATCCTTCTGGTGGGGAAACAGTACTGTGTGTTACAGCAGGATTAGTGGGGTCCGGAGAGGAAGAGCGTGCTCCTGGATGTGCTTGGGCAAAGGGAAAGGGACGGTACCGGAGCGATATGCATAGAAGAAAGGCTAAATGCAGACAATCGGTCAGCATCGGATTTGCCTCTTTTCACTGATTTTTATCTCCTCCTCCTCACCACCTGCCAGGGAGGTAGAATTGTTTTAACCTGAGTTTCACAAAGCCATACAAGGCCTATACCACTGCTTTCAGTGCTCAGCTCTCCCTCCACGCCTGCTCCCTGGGGACCTTGCTGGTCTCTGCTGACCACAATTCCTCACAGCCCTGGTCCCATAAAACGTCAGGCATTCAGCTTATCGTGGTTTAACCCCAGCCAGCAACTAAGCACCACACAGCCAGTCACTCACTCCTCCCCCCTCCCAGTGGGATGGGGAGGAGAATTGAAAAAAAAGAAGTAAAATTCATGGGTTGAGATAGGAATGATTAAATAACTAAAGTAAAATAAAATATAATACTAACAATAATAATAATAAAATATAATAACAACAGTAATAAGAAGAATAGTAATGAAAAGGAATATAACAAAAAAAAAAACCCAAACAAAAAAACAAAACAAAAACCGAGAAAAGTGATGCACAATGCAGTTTCTCACCACCCGCTGACCGATGCCCAAGCAGTGATCCACCCCTCCTGCCAACTCCCCCCAGTTTATATACTGAGCATGACATTCTGTGGTATGGAATATCCCTTTGGCTAGTTCGGGTCAGCTGCCCTGGCCATGCTCCCCCCCAGCTCTTGCTGGCAGAGCATGGGAAACTGAAAAATCCTTAACTTGGGATAAGGGCTCCTTAGGAACAACTAGAACATCAGTCTGTTATCAACATTATTCTCACACTAAATCCAAAACACACTGTACCAGCTACTAAGAAGAAGATTAACTCTGTCCCAGCCAAAACCAGGACACAGCCCTATCTGTATTCTTGGTTTACATTTTCCTTTTTTCCTTGGATCTGGTAATCTAATTTCCTCCTCTCATACTTTGACTCTCTCTATTACAGCCCTCTTCTGTACAGGCCAGACTGACCTGCCCCTCTCTTTTTAGACAGAGTGGCATGATCTTTCACCTGTACAAAAAAGCCTGTAACTCTGGGCTGCTTCATTCCTGCAGTTTTCTGTTTATGACAGAACCACAGCTTCAGCATCTGTCCTGCACA